CCAGATCATTGGTAATATCACCTCATTACCACCAACCAGGGCACTGAGTATACCACAGATGGCAGCCATGGCACTATGACTGGCACTGTGGCTGATGCTTACCTAATTCTGGAAGCACTGTTCCCATGGCCTTGCTCTAGGGTAAGGTGAGCTGCTATAATTATAATAGGCAACAAAAATTCAGTGGCGAAAGGAATATAGAAATGTATTTTTCCCTCAAATAACAGTCCAGCTTAGGTATTCATTTCAGGAAGGAATTCTCAGGCAGCCTTTCAAGAACTGGGGCTCTACCCATCTTTAGCAGATAGCTCCCAGCCAGCAGAAGGGAGGGCAGTAGCAAAGCGGGCTGAGAAGCACTGGCTCTGGCTGGGCCACTTTCCAGCCACAACTCTTATTATTATGCCATTTTACGGACAGCAGGCTGTCACTTCTGTTTCTCTCTCATTTCATTGTCCTAGACCTTCATGGTAGCCCCTATCTCTAACACCCAGAGCAGCTGAGAGCATCCTTGGTCACAGAATCTATTTCATCTCTATCCTAGGCAGTTTGCTTTACCGTCTGTATAAACAACTTTTCTAAACCTTTGTTACACTTAAATCTGCTCATCTTCAGCCTTAAATGGTGATCTGCCCTCCTACTGCAAGGTGAAGATAAAGGTCATCAACTATATCCACTTCAACCCTCTTCCCAGCGTGGCCACACTTTTTCCTTCTGTCCCAGAGGAAGATGCATCCCAGCTTCTTCGAGTGAGCCCACTCTTCCCGATCTTGTCAGTCTCATCTGGGATCTGGTTCCATTAAAGATTTCTACTTTCTGATCATTTGAATCTCACTATCTCCCTAGTAAAATGTGCCATCTTTGAGGATGTAAACCTGCTTTTGTTTTGCCTCATACTACTTTTTATCTCCCGCTTCTCTTTTTTTCTCTTTAAACTAGATCTCTTAAAATACCCATCATGTTTTCACCTCCTTTCTGCTCTCTAACCTTTAGCTCTCCCCACAAAAAAGAGCACATGCTATGTGCTGGACTACATTCAGTCAACAGGCCATCAGCGTATTTCCTGAGCACCTCCTGTGCCAGGCAGAGGGGATTCAGCAGTGCACAGAATACAAACCTTTGCCCTCTTGGGTTTCATTCCCATAGGGAAAGGTAGGGAGGGGGAGTAAATACTTGTTAGATGTGTCTATGATATGTGATATGTGCTAAAGAGAAAAATAAGTTAGGATAAGGAGATTAGGAGGATATTGATATATTTAATGGAGTGGTCAGGAAAGGCATCTCTGATAATTATTTGAGCAGAGACCTGAAGCAAATAAGAATACTCTTCCATGGGGAAGAGCATTTTAGGCAAGGAAGCAGCATGTGCTAAGGCCCTGAGGCTGGAGCAGAACAGGGGGAGGAAGAGGGGTGCCAGGCCAGACCAGAGAGGCAACCAGTGCCAGTCATAGGGCCTTCTAGTCTGTGGTGAGATTTCTGATGGGGACCATCAGAGGGATTTGAACAGAGGAATAACCTTATTTGGCTGGTTTTAAGGAGATAAGTCTGACTGCTCTATGCAGAATAGACCCAGAGATGCAGAGTAATCAGCTGTGGGAATCATTTAGACAGGAGATTGTGGTGATTTGGGCTGGGAGGTATCTGTGGATGTGGTGAAAATGGCTCCATTCTGGGTATGTTTCCAAGCGCTGACAGGTTGGGTAGTGCTGGGACCTTTATCCTTCCAGTGGAGTTTCCACTCCACACTGCACATTTCATCTTCCTTGGGGCCCAGGAGGCTGATCATACAGCCTGCATCATCTCTGGCTTCCTGTTGGGTTTGCCCCGGAGAGGTTCCTGCAGAAGATGTGATGGCAAGATTAGCATGTCAGAGTATTGTTCTCCCAGCTTCCTCCCCGGTGCTGGTTGGCTGTGACTACCTGAGCCTGCAGCCCTCCCCTGCAGTTACCTGGTCTGGATGCCAGGGAATCTTTCCCACTCCTCCATCCTTCACACCTGGGGTAATGCCAGTTCCTGCTGTTGCTAGCTCAAGGGTACACCGCTATCCTTTATTGATTTTCCTCAACCTTGCACACAAGTTTATAAATAACCCCTTTAGTAAGCTTTCCTTAAATTCTTGTGATCTTGACTCATGCTGGAGCTAGAGCATCTAATATGAAAATAACAGAACATTTTTTTTTTATCAGTCATTCACTCGTTTTCTCCCCAGTAAAATGTTAAATCCTTGAGGATAAAATCTGTCATATTCCTGTTTCTGTTACCATGACGTAGATAGGGTTTGCTACAGTTTTATCAATGAGTGTTATAATGTAATGATGCCACTAGAGTCCTTACGAATTGCCTAAATTATGTTTGATACAAAAGATTAGATGTGTTTTTTTAATTGATTTTTTTTTTTTAGAAAGTGAGGAAGGGAGAGAGAGAGATAGAAACATCAATGTGAGAGGGAAACATTGATCAGCTGCCTCCTGCACACCCCCTACTAGGGATAGAGCCCGAAACCCAGGCATGTTTCCTGACTGGGAATCCAACTAGGACCTCTCAGCCCATAGGACTATGCTCAATCCACTGAGCCACACCAGTCTAGCTGATGTGAAAGATTAAAAGTAGTGTGTGTGTGTGTGTGTGTGTGTGTGTGTGTGTCCATCTTTGTGTTTATAGGTATTAGCTTCACCTTGTTTGGTAATTCAACTCCTTAGGCTCAAAGAAACTTTTAAGAAAAAGTTGGGTACAGCTTTCTTATTACTAATTGTTCTTGCAAAGCTATCTAAACAACAGTTTGTTGATTTTACCAATTGTTTTTGAACTGGAAATACTATTTGTTCACAGTTTTTCAAGATCATAAATTTTTACCAATAAAGATTATGCAAGTAACCTTTTTTCCGGTAACTTAAAAGGTGAATGGTGATTTATTAAAGTTACCTGTTTGTTAAGTGACTGACTTTTATTTGCATGACATTTTAATAGCACTTATTTACATTATAGTTGGTTGCATACATTTACAAGATTATCAGTGTGGTTGTTTTTCCACCAATTATTTTTGTTTTAGTTCTGCAGTTTGTTATTGATGTTTTCTGCTGATCTAAATAATTTATCATCACATTTATTTAATTGTACTTATAATTTGGTGATTTGCTCTCTTCTTTCTTTCTTTTTTTTATTTTAACCTTGACTTCTTTCTGTTTTTCCTTTGGGCAAAACCTTAAACAGTAGGCTGAGCAGCCTTGAGGTATAGTTTTAATAAAAGCTTTGCTGAGTAATCATTTGGTGTAAATCCCAACCAAATCCATTAGTGGAAAAAAGGAAGTAATATCTTTTCAAGGTTAACTTTGTGGTTGCTCCCGTGAATAACACACACACACACACACACACACACACACACACAATTGAATTCATTTAACTGTTGCTTAGATTCAATTGTATTTGAGGTTCATATTTCTAATAAAAAGAACAAAAATTCCGTAAGATTAAGAGAAGATAGTGTCAAAGAATTTATTTATTAAAGATAAATTAAAACTATGGAATTTTGCTTATGTAAAATTGTAGCCAATCCCCCAGGAAAATGTCCAGGAATACCCCATTGTTTGGATAGTTTGTTGATTTTTTTTTTTACTAAAGAGGCATATCCTTCCTTTTTTTCTTTTTGTCCTTTTTAAAAAATTTTTTGACATTATTAAATATCCTCACAACCTAAGTAAACATAATGTTTTGCTTTTTTTAGAAATAAACTTTATATGTATACTTTAAAGAAGTTATTTATTTTGTGGATTTTAAAATGAATTTGATAATTTTATTTGAAAACTGAATAAGCACTTGACTATACTGAAGCAAGGGTGTTTTTGAAATCAAAGGGATGTGTAGCTACTCTAATTCAAGAACTAGTCTTTCAGGGCATACCACCAATTACTGTCTGTACAGTCCCTTCACCTTTACTCAAGTCTATTAACAGGCAAGTTATAACTCTCCTTGGAGTAGTACTTAGTGTTATCTCCCACTTGGAAGATGACAATCATAATGATTGTAAAATAATGAAATATAACATTGTATAAATAATTTCTTTTCTGAAAGTTTTCCAAACTTTCTATGAGAGAGAGAATTTAATTTAAGCCTCTACTTGCCCAGGAAAGATGATGATAATGGTCTCTGAGATCCCTGTGCCGAGTACAGGAGAGAGAGAGAAATGAAAAAAATTGGTTTAGACACCATCATCTTTTAGCTGTTGTAAGGGGAGAGAGAGCTCTCTGGAGGTCCTTTTAGAAAGACACTAGTTCTTGAGGGCTCTACCCTTATGACCTAATCATCTCCCAATAGCCTTACCTCCTAACGCACATTTAGGATTAGGATTTTAACATATGAATTTTAGGGCAGCACAAACATTCAGTCTATTGTAACTACCATTGTGGTAATGGTATAAAAGAAAGAAAAAGATGAGTGAGAAGTGACAGACTTGTCTGTAGGGGAAGAGGAAGCAAACACTAACCTTAGACTTTCGGAGTGAGTGACTGGCATTGTGGGTATAACAAATCCAGGATTGTTCTTTGGTTTCTGAAAAGTTTCCATATATGAAAAAAAAAAAAAAAAATAGGAATGCAAAATTTAAAAAATGAATACAGATTAAAGGTGGTCATAACATATTGTACTATGCAATATTTATATAATATAACATATGTACTATTTATATAATAATTAAGAAGCTAATAGTCTTCCAAAACAAGGCTATAGATAAGATCTTTTAAAGAACTTCCCTTTAGTTAAGAGAACTGTACCCTATTGTTCAAGTCTTTCATTCAGATCCCTATATTACATTGTATCAGGCCCAGAGATTTATATCCCAGGACTGTTGATATAGTGATGTGAGTAGCTCAAACATGAAACCAGTTGAAAATTAAACCATTGCCTTCTGTATTTAATCCAACATCATACATATAATTTGAGATATACATAATTATTCCATTACAAATAATTTTACTCTGTTATTTCATAAATATCTTTATTATTTGCAGGTTCGATGGATGATGTACTGGATTGTTTTTGCTCTCTACACTGTAATTGAAACAGTAGCAGATCAGACAGTTGCTTGGTAAGTTCTAGTATTGAGAAAGGACCATAGGCTCATTATTAGGTGTCCTGAGTTCTTACCCTGCTTTTGCTGTTAACTGAGTGAATTTGATCAAGATACCTAATTATCCAGTATCTTGTTTTCTTGATCTGGTTTCCCCATAAGAACATCACTTTCCTTGCAGCCCCTCTCAAATAAAGGCAACTCATTGTCCTCCCCACGTGCCTCTCCCTCCTGTCTCCCACACATCTCCCAGTATCTGGAAAAAAGAAATTGGTTGTCATTATCTTTTTCCCACACTGATGACTTCAGGCTATTTTTCTTTATTACCTGCTAAAAGACTCCTCTTTTCACACCCACAGTACTCCCTTCCCATCCTTAAAACTCTCATCTACATTCAAACTGGATGACAGCCCCAGTGGGAACACCCACTGGTCACCAGCTCCTGGGCTGCTCTATTCCAAACCTCTGAGACAGAATTAAAGCATGTTTCTATCCTCAAGGATTTAACGTTTTACTGAGGAGTAAATGCTTAATGGGACAGCTTGAATCTCCTTGTGCTGTATTTCAGTGGTGCCTTTCCATCTAATCCTTTCACGTGGCAAAGGCCTTCTTTCAGAATCTGTAAACCTGCTACCTTGCCAGTATCTTCAGCTGCCCTTGTTGCACAAATCTTCATCCTAAATAAGTCCAATTGCTCTTCTTTATTTCTTTTCCAGGCTACTAAATGAGCTGCAGGGGAAAAATCAATCAGTTGCTCATATAGGTATCAGTTCGAACCTCACCATTTCTTTTGCTTGCTTTGGTCATTTGCTGCTTCCAACTCCCTCTTGGACCCGTTTGAGACATTTACTGTTCTCTCCTTAAACTGTCTTTCTGAATTTGCTATTCTCATCATATTCTCACGGCACATTAGGTCACATTGGATTGCTAGAAAAAAATCGAACTCATCAGACTTAAATGTTCTTAGTATCCTGCCCTTATTATTTATGAACTTCTCTGTACTGTTTCTTCATCCATCTTTTTCTTCCTTTTTCTGTTCCAAAGCCCATTCATTTACCTTCTATGTTTTTGGCATAGGGGTTTGGGAAAGGGTTTTCTGTTTGTTTGTTTTTTAAATGGCAGAACACAAATTCCAAATCATGCTAGGCCTCTTAAGTGTCAACGTTCTCTTTTTAAAGACTTCTCAGTTTTTTCTGATTGCAAATATAGGATATATTATTTAAAAACTGGTTGTGGCCAGGGGGCTCAGTTGGTTGGAGCATCATCACATGCACCGAGAGGTTGCAGGTTTGGTTCCTGGTCAGGACACATATCTAGGTTTCAAGTTCGATCACCAGTTAGGGCCCATCCCCTCTCAGTGATGCATTGTCACAATGACCTTTTGTTGACTGTGCAATCGTCAGTCATCATTCCTTACTGCCTGATACCTGCCTCCTCAGAAGACTCCAGGTTTTTCAGTTATTGTGTTTCTTGGTGCTTCTTTGACCACAGAATGTTGATCCCCTCATGCTGTATTAGTTAACTTGCTGTGGCAGCAAACAACCCTAAAAGCATAATAAGTTAGAAAAACAAATAATTTGTTTCTTCCTCAAACTACATGAGAGCAGATGGTCACTGATGCTTTGCTGGGCTTGATTAAGTGTCTTTTCTTTTGGGGACCAAAGCTTCAAAACCACTTGTCATGGCAGAAAGCAAAAGTTTAAAGCAAGAGGTTGGGGGTGAGGGAGTCAAAGGGCATATATCTCTTTGCATGCGACATATCACACTCATATTCTGTTTGCAGAAGCAGGTCACATGATTAAACCCACCGTCACTGCTTGGGGAAGTGTACTCAGCCTACAGGGAAGGCATTGCAGAGTCACATGGAAAAGGGCATGGATTAGATCTAACCCTAATTCCCAGCCTACCTCCATGGTAATTCTATTTTTTTTGCAAATGAACCATTTAAGTCTGCAAAGTTCTGGAATTCTGGCCAAATGAGACAGTTTTCTGGGAATTCTGAGAAGGAGATGTTTGGGCTAACATTGTGCGCTCAGAGCATATAAATGTAAGTCCTGATCGTTGGAGGTGTATCAGGTTCTGCCACGGCAGTGGGCTCTGCAGAAAGAGCTGGTGTACCCACTGCCGTCAGTGCCCTCAGGACTGCTACACTCAGGTGGCAGCTTCCCTGTGCGTGCTGAACCTGGCGAATTCGGACTGGAAGGTGTGAACCTCTGCAGGGATGAGGTTGCTCTTTTGTTAACTGATCTCTATTTAATGAAGTTAATTTGTCAATTTATAGCTATTTCTTTGGTCTCTCACTTTTACATGTGAAAACTGAACTTTTTAAAAAGTTTTCTGTTACCTGCTTGCTGTCTGTAGTTTATTTTCATAGGTATTTTTTCTTGTTAGGTTCCCCCTGTACTATGAACTGAAGATTGCTTTTGTCATATGGCTGCTCTCTCCCTATACCAAAGGAGCAAGTTTAATATATAGAAAGTTTCTTCATCCACTTCTTTCTTCAAAGGAAAGGGTAAGATATATAAATTATTACCACAAACATTTGTTAGAAATGTATATCATCACACACATTATGCTATAAAAATTGTGAAATGATTATGTTATAAGGGGAAGTCCTATTTTTTTTTTTTGACTGCTGGACTCTATACCTAAATAAAATTAATATCTATGTGCTTGGGTTTTTTGTTTTCTTCCAGGAGATTGATGATTACATTGTACAGGCAAAGGAACGCGGCTATGAGACAATGGTCAACTTCGGTCGGCAGGGTTTGAACTTAGCGGCCACTGCTGCTGTTACTGCAGCCGTGAAGGTAATTCTTTACCTACCGTTTCATCCAGTGGCACCTTCAGTCAACGTACAAAGTAGGGTGGCTTTTTATTTCAGATCACTATAAAATGTTGGCAGAATTTTGCTTTCTGTTTATTTTTTTAATGTTGGGAGACCAAGTAGATTATTTTAGAAGCATTTTTACACATTTTTTTATAACTAAATATTTTGAAACTCTTAATTGATCACAAAATGAGATCAAGTTAATAAATAAAACATACTGGGAAATGTCATTTTGTCATAACATTCCTACTGTATAACCTTAAAATAGTTTGAGTAAATCACCTTTAGTAAAGATGACCATTCTTTCTTTCTCTGTCTTTGGTGTTCTCTCTCTCGGTGGCAATATCTGGGTAGGATTTCTGGCTTACTTCTGCACCCCTACTTCAACCAATTTGAGGTAACTGATTATTCAAAATAAGGCATGAAAAAAATTCTGTTCTTAAAACTTGAGATTTTACTTAGCCAATACTAATGTCATGTGTTGTGTTTTGCAAGCCAAGTTATCAAATGAATGCCTTCTGTGAAAACTTGCACTGTGGCTTTTCGATTTCTTTGCATGTAGTAATTAGTGTGGTTTATTTTAAATGTGATAGCATAAATGATTTTGATGTGTAGTAGTATATGGAAAGAAAACAGGCTTCAGAACCAAAAAGTGCTGAGTGTGACTTTCTAAATAATCATCAGCAATTCACTTCTATATTCCTTGGTGGGTGGCTTCATGTATAAAATGAGGATAATACCTATCTGTGAGAGCATATATAAAAGCACAGTGCTTGCCAAAATATAGAAGGAGCCCAGTAAACATAAATGTCATGTGTCTATCTCAATTCAAGGAAAAATTTGAGTTAGTTGCTATTAAGTTAAATTGAGACTAAATAGTATTCTAGCTTTTGAGTTAGGCTTTTTCAACTGAGTTATCATTAAATAAATCAACAATGCTATGGAAATAGTTAAGTGGTGATTTTATATAATCGCAGTGGTGAAGGGATGTAAAATGTCAGATGGAATTCCTAAGATGAGCTGCCTCTTTTCAGAGTGATCTTTGGCTCAAGTATCACAATTAATATGATCAACAAGATAAAAAATTGACATTATATACTAAAAGTGTTACATTGAGGATTAAGTGGAAACATTAACTGTACAGCACTATACATGTAAGACAAGTCTATTATTAATTGATTACTAATTACCAGCACTTTAGTGTAGTTTGCCTATTATTGGCTTTTGAAGGCTTTTTATTAGTATAGATATAAACATATAATAAAATAACAATATTTTCAGGTTATTTAAGGATTATTTTTCATTTTAGAAGAAGTGCATTTGCTTTTTATTTCTTGCTTAATGAATATGCATTCCTGATTTCCATATCTACTAAAAAACATACAGGAGAGCCAACATTCAACAACTAGGAATTGCGTAGTCAAAATAAGCATTATCTCACAGAAATACCTTTCTGTAGAAAGGCTATAAAAGCAATCCTAGATGTATATTTCTCTGTCTTTCTTTTTTGTGATTCACTGTTTGTTTTTATTCATATATTTAACAACTTAAAACCTCCTCCTGCCTTCAAAGGCAGGAAACAGAGAGCATAACAATCATCTAAGTTACCACTGCCAGACAAACACTTATCCCATAATTTGAATTCATTATGGAACTTTCCCCTCTTGTTTGTGATTTTGTGACTGCAACCTTCCTGGATAATACTCATTAGAAATAGTCATTAAATATACTGAACATAACATAATGGTAACACTATTTGCCTCAAGTTGTACTGTGCCTATTTTAAAGTAGGTGAAATTAATTTTGTCTCTGGAGATGTCAATGAAAGACACCGTGATGGAAGAATCATTGAACCATACACTTCATACTGAGGAATAAATTGAAAATGAAATAGGAAATAGGTCAAGTTTGAGGAAGAATTGCAAGAAAGCCAGTAGTAAGATTTAAGAATTATTTTAAAATTTTTTATACTATACAGTTTGTTAAAAATATCTTTCAGGCTAAAAATATTTGGACTCTTGTTGTGACCTTTAAATATTGGTAATGCCCCTGACTAGGTTTCCCAGGTTGAACCACCTGAGCATGTTAGAGATGAAAATAGGAATCTAATAGAGCATTTATTACACCGTAAAGCAATTTTCTGAAAATGTTACTCAGTTCTGTGATCTCATTACCAGGCATCTGTTCACAAGGTCAGTGTACAAGTTTATTTTGGCTGAGCAAAGCATAAACATATGAAGGACCTTCAAGGATTTTGCTGAGGATGTTCAGCATTCCATAGCTTTTCACATGAGAAATGCAGGTGGCTTTTGTACAGATGAATAGCACTACTGCCGGATGAAGGACTAAGAGTCATATTAACCATCTCTTAGAATTTTTTGCTGGCAGCCTTTGGTGAATTCTTTAGCAGATATTATTTCAAAAAAATCAAGTATCACAGAAATTAGAGCCTTACAGGTAAAATTAATTAATGCTAATTGACTTTAAGTGTTCATGATTAGGTCAGAGATCCTGACATCTTGATGTCTGTTTTAGTGGCTTTTTGTTTGTGAAAAGATTTGCGGATATTTAGCTGCTTATTAGCAATTTATAAAAAGAAAACAGTTGTTCAAACAGTAGGAAAAAAAGGTCATACTATTTCCCTATAATCTAGGAAGGAGAATTGTTACAATGAACATGGAATTCTACAGTAGTCAAGCAAGCTATCGGCATATTTTTTAGCCCTAATCTAGCCAAGAATTAGGCATGAGTTTTGGGCAAATCATCTGCACTGATCTAAGTATTAATTTTCTTACCTATAAAGCAAGGAGGTGAAACTTAACTTCTAAAACCCCTTATATCTCTAAGAGCAGTTCTCAGCGGGGTTGGTTTTGCCTTCCAAGAGGCATCTGACAATGTCTGCAGACATTTTGGGTTTTTACAGCTGAGAGAGGGGCCGTTGCTACTGGCATCCAGGAGTGGAGATCAGGGATAACACTTTATGTCTTTCAACACACAGGACAGTTTTCCTATAACAAAAAATTATCCAGCCCAAAATAGCAATAGCGCTGAGGTTGAGAGAGTATGATGTCAGAAAAAACTAAAAGGATATATCAATATGTATAGGTAGCTTTGGTAGTGGATTATGAATCATTTTTCTTTTGTATATTTTTCCAGAGAAAAATATTATAAATATTCTTTGACAAATATATATTGTTTCATCTTAAACCCATTAAACTATATTATTCACTTAGTGTAAATTTCATTCTAGACTTGATCAGATTAATTGCTGAATGTCCACAAGAAAAGGCGATTTCTCTAAAACCTGGAAACTAGCTTTATCTGCAATTTTAATGTAGTATGTCAAGGATCAACAGAAACAGCTTAATGGCTATTCATTATTAAACAGTATAGTAAGAGTTGTTCTGTAAAAGATTATTTATATGCTTGTAAGCTTATAAAGCATTACTGATTATGATTTTAAATCCTTAATTAAAATGTGAAGATAATATATTGAAAGTTTTATACGAAGATGCTGAAAAGCACAGTGGTTCCCCTTACTCAACACAAAATATAGTAATTTTAGTGTGACGTTTAACCAGGAAATACAATTATTTCAACAAAGGCAGAATTATTGGGGTGTAAAAAAGTTAGAATTAGTCATACATGCAGGGTTCCTGTTTACAGATACCAACGGTGGACCGGGATACTTGAGCAGACATTCAGACGTCCGAGCTCCCTGGGCTGTCAGTGAGCTCTGTGGGGAAGGCGCAGGGAGCGCCGCCTCGGCTGGGGAGTTCTCCCGGACCCTCCCGGTGCTCGGCCTGGACCCAGCCCTTCCATCCATTCAGCTCCTGTCGTGTTCTGTTTCTTAAATGGATGTTCTGGGCCCATCCAAATTCAAACCCTGAGAACTTTGAGCTAGTGAGCATTTAGGCATGATGATCAGTCTTAAAGTAAAATATTCTACAGGATAGTTCTTATTACTTTGACTTTTATGTTCTCACCATAATCTTTCTGTTACTTTCTCTTTGATTTTTGGGATCAATTTTAACATGCACAATGTATATGCAGTTCTGCAGAAAATAGGATATAAAGTCTGGGATATAGTATACCCTTATGGATGGTAATTGTCTTTCTTTTACCAACTAAGACTGCTGCTTCCACACATATTTTCCTCCTCAGCTGGAACTTCTCTTATTTTGCTTTTTCTTCTGGCTTAATAGTATATAAACCCAATAGAAGAAAATAAACAAAGCATTATTACTTTGAACAGAACCTCAGTATCTTTTAATGTTGACAATTGACTATAATGCCCTATTTTGCCCTCAAAATAGAGAAACAGTTTTTCTTTTAATTAACAGAATAAGAGATTAAATATAGGAAAAATGAGCGGAAAGTGAATCAGAAGTTTTTATTATGCATCTCATTACAATTAAAACTTTACTTATCCCATCTATGACTAATTTTGCAATATTAAAGTATTGTTGAAAAAGGGGGAATCACTCATCCCATCTTCCTAAACATTATCTTGTTCATTTTTACGTATAGCCATACTGCATACTCATCATCATAGTATGCATATGATTTAGAATTCTGAGGTAGAAGGGAAGTATTTCCACTTATTTTATTACAAACGTGATTCCTTTATTCACGGACTTTTTGTGCTAAAGATATAAAAATTAGAAGGAATAGGTCTGCATCTAGGTGTGATTATTTTATAATTAGACCTTTCCTTGAACACTTAACAATTTATGTAATGTTTTTTAAGTTCACGATACTGCATTAATTTTTTCTTCCTATATTAGCTCTATTCTGGGCCCCTATGAAAATATACAGTGGAAATATCTGCTTTTTCTAGGTGATAATAGCTGTTGAAGTATCGGGGGTCGTTAAAAGGTGTACATAGCCCCTTTCCGCTTTTCCTAGCCTTTCATGAAACCTTGAGAAGATTGATAATATTTAGGGCTATAGGATTGGTTACTCAAGAGCTACATTACAATCTATGCTGTAAATTAATCACTCAGGGTTGGTTCTTACTCGCCTTTAATATAAACCTGAAACAAACCTCTGATGAACGGTGTAGTCTACCCAGGTGGACACCCATGATCATACCTGTAGTTTGCTACTGAACCTCTGCATAAAGAAGCCAGTGTTTATGTTTAAACAAGCTGCTTCTGTGGAGAACTCAAGCGATCAAGAGTAATGAAAAAGCCCTGGCTGGGTAGTTCAGTTGGTGAGAGCGTCCTCCAGGTACGAAAAGGTTGTGGGTTTCATTCCCCGGTCAGGACACATACAAGACTCAACCAGAGAATGCATAAATAAATGGAACAACAAATCAATGTTTCTCTCTCTCTCTCTCTTAAAAAAAAAAATCAATAAAAAATACAAGAACATCTAGCTTTAAAACAAACAAATAAAAAAGAGTAATGAAAAAGAAGAGGCATAAAAAGAGTAGTTTAATTATTACCTGCTTAATACCAGTACCAAACCAGATACAGTAGGAGAACAGAAGAAGCCAAAGATTTATTCATTTCATCTAGTTTCTTAAAATCTTACTCTGGAGGCAAAATATACACAGCACAACAATACAACTAACAATAATGTGTGAGTTCATTTGTGAGGTATACCCTAAGTAATTAGGTGATTATACTTAAAGATACCAAAGTCTATGAATGATATGAAACTAGACTGATTCAGTGGCACTTTGACTCGTTTGCATTCTGAGATGTACTTTCTTGAGTAGGAAGGAGGGTTTGTTTGGGAGTTATAGCCAGCCTTGGAAACTGCACCCGAGGCGAGTGGAGGGTAACATGGATGTGTATGCTGTTTATCATTTGTTTAGGAGTAGGTAAAAAGTCAAGAATTTCTGAAAGAGGGCACAGAAATACAAAGGCAGGAGAAAGAAAATGACAGTTCTGAAAAAACAGGGCATCTGTTTCAGAGTACTGGATACTTCCTTTTATTATATGTCTGAAATCTTCAGTCACCTACCTGCTTAATAAGTAATGGTATCTGATAAAGAGGAAGAAAGTATAATGAATTGAATCATGCCAAGAATGTTTAAAGATGTATGGAACCCAGTTATTTTTATTGAAGATATAGACCTTTAATTAAGTAATTCCTTCTCACAGTTCAAAAAATTATGGTAGAACTACAAAGCTTAAGTGGGGTAAAGCATTCGGTTTCAACATAATGTATCACTGACTCAGAGTAGCTGAATCTAGACCTTTTCCTTCGGTGTAAAATACATGTTAGTAGTAATGTTTGACTGTTTGAAATTTAGAGATAAACCATTATGGACAAGTTTCTATGGTAACTTTATGACTAGAGGCACTCATAAGTTGACATATGTGAGAAGGGAAAATAAGTGTAAAACAACACTAGAAGGATATTTTTAATCCAGCTATAAATAAGAAGTGAATCATCTATATGCTATGTGAATTTTTAATGTGAATAAATTTAGAAATTCTTTTTTTCTCTTTACAAAACTTTATACTTTGAGAAGATATTTAGTTATGTCTGAAAGGTTCAGAAATGTCCCTTTCCCAGCTGTGCAGTCACGTAATCATGGAACTTTCTGCAGTGATGGAAATGTCACATATCAAATACAGTAGCCACTAGCCACATGTGGCTATTAAGCCTGTGAAATGTAGCTAGTGCAATTAAGGACCTAGATCTTTAATTTAGTTCACTTTAGTTCATTTAAATTTAAATATCCACATGTGTTCAGTTTCTACCATATTGTTTAGATGACAAAGTCAAATTGCATACTAGTAGATATGTCTTGCCAAAGAGTAAATTCATTAATTGAATGTCATTATGTATCCAGGATTCTTAGGCTCTTTTTTTTTTTTTTTTGTATCCGTTCTCTGTAGAGACATTACCACTCCTGCCTTAGTTTAACTTAAAACAGTATCTCTCATACTTAAAAAAGTTCTTCTAAATCATAAACTTAAGCCCCAAGTGCTAGTTTTAAGAGCGAGCAAAATTATGGGTGCTATTTACTCTGAAGGTAAGCTCATTATACTTTTTTATACTTTAAAATTAAACATGAAGTTGAAATGTTTGGGGGTGGAAGATACTAATGTCTAAAATTCACTTTGAAATGTATTACAAATTGTTTGATGGATGAATAAATGATAGATACGTGATAAAGAGACTAAAGCAAAATGTAAATGATATGTGGGTGTTCACTGTACAATACTTTCAACTTCCCCGTAATTCATAATAAGCTTCCCGATAAATGTTGGGAGAAATGTTCTGTGTATGCATGTAAAATATTCTAAACTGTACTTTTCTCTCTTGGATCTGTCACTTCTCTGTTAAATAGAGCCAAGGGGCAATAACTGAGCGGTTACGGAGTTTCAGTATGCATGATCTGACAGCCATCCAAGGGGATGAGCAGGTGGGACGGAGACCATACCAACCTCTGCCAGAAGTGAAAAAGAAAAGTAAACCAGCCTCCAGCGAATCGGCAGGTGTGCTTCGTTGTTTTAATATATCATTCTTGCACAATTGGGATTTTGAGTCAAGATGAGTAGTAAAATAATTCCTGGTAACTCTGAATTTGGGTAGACAGAACTTTCTTTTAAGCTTATATTTTTGAGGTTTACACTTAACTGTAGTTAGTGCATGCCTCTTGTTGACTCTGGAGATAATCCAGCTAAGAAAGTAGTGGTATCCTTTTGTGCTGCCGTGAATTTTTTAGAAGCCATGGGTGTGGTTACCACCACCAGTACTAGTTCTGACCTGATTAAGATACTCTTCTCCTTAAACTATAGTGACATCTAAGGAGTTTCATAGTTAAACACTCTTCACTGTAAGTAATGTGAACAAATAAGGATATTGACTCACAAGATAAAAAGTTTTAAGTGGGTGACAAAAGATGACTCAATTTGAAAATAGGATTACTCCATTAGAAAATGTGTTGAAATTACATGTAGTTCTGGTTCAAGAACTAACTTGTAGGCATATTCTAGTGTAAATCATGAGCTTGTCATAATTGATACATCCTAAACTTTAATAAAAAATTCTATCTTAGCCCAGCCAGTATGGCTCAGTGGTTGAGTGTTGGCCCATGCACCAAGAGGTCACTGGTTCAATTCCCGATTAGAGCACATGCCCAGGTTGTGGGCCTGATCCCTAGTGGGGGGCGTGCAGGAGGTGGCCAGTCGATGTTCTCGCTCATCGATGTTCCTATCTCTCTCCCCCCTCCCTTCCTCTCTTTCTCAAAATCAATAAAGAAAAAAAAGACATAGTTCCTTAGTCATCTTATCACATATAAGAAAGTTTTAGTTCAAGGCTCAGCTGAGAACTAAGATCTTCAGGACCTGTCTTATTAATGTGCTATTAAATCCATAAGGTAAAGGGCTACTTGATGGTTTTCTTATTTAAGAAGATTTCTTTTGAAGGAGATTAAAAATCATCCTTTATAATTAAAACCAGTTTTGCCCTGGCCAGTTGGTTAGAGCATCGTCCCACTGCTACCAAGGTTGCAGGTTCAATCCCCGGACCGGGCACATACAGGAATCCACCAATGAGAACATAATTAGTGGAACAATAAATCTCTCTTTCTTTCTCTCTCTCTCTCTCTCCCTCCCTCCCTCCCCACCTCTTTCTCTCTAAAATTATAAATAAATAAATATTTTAAAAATAATCAAACCAATTTGAAAAATGTAATAACAGTCCTGGCCTGTTTGGCTCAACGGTTGGAGCCTCAAACCGAAGGATCGAGGGTTCTATTCCTGGTCAGTGGCACGATACCTAGGTTGCAGGTTCAGTCTCCAGCCCTGGTCAGGATCATGCACAGGAGGCAGCCAATCCATGTGTTTCTCTCACATCAGTGTTTTTCTCTCTCTCCTTCCCTCCCACTCTATAAATCAATGGGGAAATATCCTCAGGTGAGGATTAACAAAAAATAAAATAATAGTGTCTTCTTATAGACGAAAAATAGTGAACTTTCTTCTAAGTTCTCCCTAGATGAATAACTTTACAAAGATATGGCTATTATCTAAGCCAAGCAGAAAAAGACAAATACCACATGATCTCACTTATATACGGAATATAATGAACATAACAGTCTGAGGAATACAGTAGACCCAGACACATGGAAGTAGGGCACAGACTGACATCCCTCAGAAGAGGGGATGGGGGGTGGGGGGTGGGAAGAGATAAACCACAGAACTTATATGCATGTATGCATGACCAATGGACATGGACAACTAAGCCGGGGACAGGGTGGAGGGGGGTGGGGTGGGAGGTGCCAATGGGGTAAAAAGGTAAAATATCTGTAACAAAAAAATAAATAAAAATTCATAAAAAAAATAAAAATAAAAAAAATAAAACCTTAAAAAAAAAAAAAAAAGATATGGCTATTATCTAAGAGGTAGAAACTAAGCATTGCCCATTGATTAAGGTAGTAATATCTTTAAGGGTGAGGAACTGTTGAACTTTGAACCAGCATTCTTTGTTTTTTTTCTTTTTTTTAAACAACAGGCATTTATTTTCTCAGTTCTGGAGATTAAAACTCAAAGATTCTTAATACATAAATAATCTAAAACTAGTTCCTAATATAGGCACCTAAAAATTAGATATACTCGTTTTGATTATGTGGTCTGCTGTATTATTTAGCTGATTTGGACCAGTTGTCTGAGTCCTTTGTTAGAATTTATTCATAATTATACCTTAGAACTGGTTAAGAATTATATTCCAATTATTTAAATGAAAACGGAATTATATATAGGAAAATCCCTAACACTATTTTTATGGTATTCATCTATTAAATTTAAAATGGTGTGACTAACATATTTTAAAATAGTAAGGTGTTATTTAGTTCTTTTGTTAAAGTTCTTACCATGAAATTGAATTAACTGAAGATTTATAAAAATATGAAGTGGCAGCAATACAAAAAAAGGTATTTGTTCAGCTATAAAATTTAAATTTTAATATGCATTACTTTGCCCAACTTTCCTACAGAATGGTATACATACTGAGCTTTCTTCGCTAAAGGAAAAGTTTAACCAAAACTGTCTCTCTTGACAATGTTTTCATAAAGTAGTGTGGTTCCAGGAGAGGACTCATCTGAAGAGAGATGAGTCTCGATAAACATGGAAATTCATCGGATGAGAGAGGTGGCTTTCCCGATGGGGGCCGGGGGGGGGGGGGAGAGATTGAAAGTGGTGCTAAGGTAACTGTTAGGCTTAGAGGGTGGGACAGGGAATGAAGTTACACCTGTACCGCAAACCTTTGGTTACAATAAATTCCGAAAAGATTTAGACTGAAATGTAAGAAATTAAATACAGTAGGACATTCCTGTGTATGTTAAAATACTCCTAGGATAGGTCAAACTTCTGAAGCATGACATCGAAACCAGAAAAGTTTTGAAAAGTTTGAGAAATTTTTCTGCCATATAAGGAGGAAATAAGCAAGAAACTGTACAAACCAAATACTGTCAATTTTATCAAAGAATATTGCTGACCAATTAATACATGAGAAAGAGAGCCTCCAATAGTAATTTTTGTTCACTAGATTGGCAAAAATTTTTTTTAAATTAATAGTGCTCTGTGTTGTAACTATTTTAGTTGTCTATTGCTATGTAATAGATTACCTCCAGATAGTGATTTTTAAAAATCATGGTCATTTATTTTGTTCATAACGTGGGGGTGACTGGGCTCGGCCAGGCAGTTCTGGCTCAGGGTCTGATGCAGCAACAGTGCAACAGCAGCTGGAGCTGGAGTCGTGATCTGAAAGGCTGCTTCACGCACACGTCTGCTGTTTGCGCTGGAAAGACTCAAACAGCCGGTAGCCAAACTTTTCCCAAACTTTTCTGGAGTTGGGGCTCCTCCGGCGTCTCTCCTTTTACCTCTCACTGTGTGGTCTCTGAGGATCGCTGGACTTCTCACCTGGCCGCTGAAGGCTCCCGAAGCCAGTGTCCCAAGAGAAAAGTATCAGAATTTGGGGACATGTTTTAAAACCACCACAGCAAGCATGTTGGCAAACAAACACTCTCATATACTTTTTATGAGAGTTTAAAGTGGAATAATCCTTTTGGATGACAATCTGCCAATAATTATCTAAATTTATCCCTTTAACTGAGCAAGAAACATGCCATAAGGAAATAATCAGACAAATGTTCAAAGATGTATGTACAAGAATGTTCATCCCATTGTTTATAGTAACAGAATATTGGAAGAAACCAAATACCTACGAGAAATGATTAAGCAAAAAAGTGGTTTATTAGGCATGAAAAACGATGTCAGTCTATACTTACTGACATGAAAATATAGCTCTGGCCGGTTTGGCTCAGCGGTTAGAGCGTCGGCCTGCGGTCCGGAGAGACCCGGGTTCGGTTCCCGCTAAGGGCACATACCTTGGTTGCAGTTTGTCCTCCGCCCTGGTTGGGTCGTGTGGGTAGCAACCACTCAATGTGCCGCTTTCACGTCGATGTTTCTCTCTCTCTCTCTCCCTCTCACTCTATCTGAACAATATATCGAAAAATGTCCTCGGGTGAGGATAAAAAAACAAAACAAACAAACAAACAAAAAAAAAGAAAATACAAGCAGATTGTGGGGGAATAAACAGTAACAGTGAAGCAGTATGTGTGTTATAAGCCTGTACCATAGAGACACAGTAGATACATGAAATGCATTCATATATGTAAAGATATTTTTCAAATGTATATACATAGTGGAGGGTCTGGAAGGAAATTACTAAAATATTAACAGTGTTTAGCTCTGAATAGTAGAATTTTAATGATTAAAAAAAATTTCAACCTATCACTTAAAATTAGAAATAAAACAACACTCTCCCTTTTGAAAAAGAAGTACTCATTTTCTTATCATGAATTTTTTTTCTATTTCATGTACTTCCAAAATTCCTCCAGAGGGGGAAAAAAAAACAAAGTGGTTAGTTTTTAAGTGTGAGAATTACATTCACATTGCAAAGTCTGTGTCCTGGTTTGTATGATCGATACATTTAGCTCAGGAGCTCTGACTGTTCACACAAGCAAACTCAAATATCTGGAAAAGTGGGTCCCCTTTGAAAGCTCACTCTGGCCTGCTCTGCAGAGTGAGGTTAGCTGATCAAGAGAAGTCCTCCTGCTTTGATGAAATTATTCAAATCTGCATGTTGTCACCATGGGGAAAAGAGCTCTCTCCAGATGCTTTCTTGTGAGAAAATGGATGCCTTGAACATGATATTGATGTCCCTTGAAAGAACATCATTGTATTTTGATAAGTGGAAATGTTTTCTCTGCAAAGAACCTACTGCTCCTGTGTTAGTTCAAGTGGTTCAATATTCAGTTTCAATACTAGTGCAGGAAGAGATTTTGTGTTTGTTTTAGGTGCTTTATGTATTTATTTAATCCTTGAGATGACTATGCAGATTAAGTATTTTTCCTTATTTTGTAGATGAATGAACTGAGACTTAAGGAGATTAAATTACTTATTAATTTACTTGGTGACTGAAATGAGGTATCCAATGTTCCTAAGCTAATTTTTACTCTTTTTAATTTATCAAGAGGCTACATTTAGTGAGACAGTTGGGCTGAATCCATGAATTCAAATAATTTGAGCAGGAAGGGACCTCAGAGATGCGTTAATCAGAGGTGGCAAATGTGTGGCATGCACTCTCCCTGCGCCCGTGCCCATGGCAGCAGACATTGCTGACGGAGTGTGGCACTTTCCCACACTGGCTCCGAATCCCACTTCACACAGCACCCCAGGCAGCTGGCTCAGAGTTGGCATCGACATCGAAACCTGTTCATCATCTCACCCATCTCACCACCTTGCCAGATAAGAACACAGGCCTGGAGAAAGGTGTGACTCTGGGCCTCACTGCTAACAGATGGCAGAGTACTCATTTCTCCTCACGTGGGTCCAGGACTCCTTCCACCACAAGGGATAAGGCTCCTTCCAGGTCAAACTTCCGACGGTTCTGCACTTACACTAATGCATGCAACTGTTTAGAACATGCTAAGTACTGGATCGATATTGGCTATTATTATTTTAAGGAGAGAACTTAAAATACACCAACTCTAAAGTGTACAAACTGGATAAAACCAGGTCTGTCTGCAAAAAGGATCTGCTCGTTTCTAAAATGGCTGCAGAGCTGTGGGCTGAAGCTAGCCTGACAGCTGCAGCGTCGGGCCAGGGCAGGCACATGGGCTTCTCATTCTTTGGTCCCCGGTCACTGCTCCTCAGGAATGTGCATGGAAGGCGCCATACTGAGGGCTCGCTCTCTCCAGTCTAGAATGATCATTCAAAGCAGCCAACCTTAGCATTGCCTTTGTATGGTGCCAGCAGTATTCCCACCAGTTTACTTTGCCCCAGCTTGGCAGACCCATAAACCACTCAGCCAGCTAACTCCCTGCATTCTTGTTTGATTCAGCATCCAGATTTGGATTTTTCTCATAATCTCAGGTCTCTCCTCCTCCAAAGACTTTGTTGTTGTTGTTGTTATTGTTGATCCTTACCCAACGATAGTTTTCCATTAATTTTTAGATAGAATGGAAGGGAGAGAGGCGGAGAGAGAGAGACATCAATGTGAGAGATACACATCAATTGGTTGCCTCCCACGTGCATACTGATCAGGTACGTGCAACCCAGGTACGTGCCCTTGACTGAGAATCGAACCCATGACCTTCTGGTCTGTGGGCTGACATTCTAACAGCTGAGCCAAACTGGCCAGGATCCTCCAAAGACTTTTAAATACATAACATTGACTAACATTATTTTTTGCACTCACAGCAGAATTTTCATACATACTTATTTCCAGATATTAAATGGAACAGAAAATGCACATTTTCATGAGGGTATTTGGCTTGACTCCTCTCTTTTGAATGGATGGATTGGTTTACTAAGTTGCTTAATCATTTCAACTTAATCATTTCACCTCCCAAATTTGGCTACTCTCTCTGTTCTCACTCCTTGGACTCCAACATTTCTGACCTACCATACAGCAATAACCTCCTGCTTTTAGTCTCATCCACATCTGATTCATTCTCCAAAGTGCAAGAAGACTCTTTCAAAGAACTCAGATCTAATCATGTCATGCTTCTATTTAACATGCTTCAGTGGCCCCCCATTGCTCTCTGGTGAAATCCAAACTCAATAGCATGTGGTAGATTAGCTCCGTGACCTTGTTCCCACTCCATCATGTGCTAGCTATATAGAATCATGAGCCTTTCAGGATTTAGCTTACTCACCACCGCCTACAAGAAGTCTTCTTTCACAACCCACTTCCCCCCACCCCCAGGCTGAGCTAGTTCTTTCACTGAATGCTCCCTTAGCACCTTGTCTTTATCTTCTATCTGTGGCATCTCTTATAGGATTGTAATGCCCAATAACGTCTATTTCCCTATTGGACTGTAAATTTCTTTGGGTAGAAAATGAGAGTTGTGTCTTTTTCATCATTTTAACCCCATGATTTAACACACTGCCTCACACATAGTAGTATATTTTAAATATTTGTGTAAGAAAGAATGAAGACATCACTTTTCATAAAACCATAATTAATTAGAAAGCTAATAAGGCCTTAGCCAGGTGACTCGATTGGAACGTTGTCCTATACACAGAAAGGTTGCGAGTTCAATTTCTGGTCAGGGCATATACCGAAGTTGCTGGTTCCATCCCAGATCAGGGCACCTGTGGGAAGCAACCAATTGATCTCTCTCTCTCTCTCTCTCTCTCTCTCTCTCAAAATCAATATAAACATATCCTTGGGTGAGGGTTTTTTGTTTAAGTACTAACAAGATTTTTTTCATTGAAATTAGGAAACACCGAAAGAATAAAATTTATATATGATCATCTTTTGAATGAAATTCCAATTCCCAATCATATAAAATGAGAGGTGATTAAAATAGCAAGGGCCATGGTTTTTGAACTGTAGTCTTATGGTTCATCTGTGGCCTTAGAGAACTTTCTGGTCACAGTGCTTCCTCTCTCACTCTCTCTTGGTTCCCCATTCTCTGTTTCACCTTAGTTTTACTAGTTTGGGATCAGGAATATTATATAAACAGTAGCAATAAGAAAAATTTAGGTCTGGCCTGAATGGCTCAGTGACTGAGTGTCAACCCATGCACCAAAAGGTCGCCGGTTCGATTCCCGGTGGGGGCACATGCCCAGGTTGTGGGCCCAATCCCCAGTGGGGGGTCATGCAGGAGGTGGCCAGTTGATATTCTCTCTCATCAATGTTTCTATCTCTCTCTCCCTTTCACTTCCTCTCTCTCTAAAACCAATAAAGGAAAAATAAATTTTAAAAAAAGAAAAATTCAGAAATGACAACCTAAAAACAGTTTATCTGGTTTATCTTTCCCAACTGTAGAAGTAATACAATTTTTAAAATAAAAATTTGGCAAATTAAAAAAGGAAAAATGAACTTAAAATCACCTAATGGCCCACTTCCAAGAGATGCAATGGGTTCATTTTTGTTTTTCCTCTGTTTATATATTTATATTTTTTCCCCACTAATATTGCATCAGGAGCGTTTTCCCAGGACTACTAACCCCATCCCCTTCCCAGGCCATACTGGCCTCCTCACAGTTCTTCCAAGCAGTCTCCTTCCCCCTGCCCCAGTGCCTTTGCACATGCTGTCTCTTCTCCCTAGAACATACTTCCTTGGACTGCTACAAGAAAACAAAGATCCTGACCTCAATAATAACTGATTATACTCCCAAATCCTTCCTAATTTCTAGCCTAGAAGTCTGGCAGCATAAAATTGTACTAGCTTAATATACAAAGATGTTTATCTTATTATGTACTTGCTTATTATGCAAAGACATTCATCTTATTATGAGACTAAGAAACTTATTAACAACTCTTTGTGATTTGCTTAGTGAGTTACACACGTCCTGGGAGAGGAGATTAATGAACATTTAGTCTCTTTTTCATCACATGCAAGAAGTCCACCTCTTGTCTCCTTCTGATCCTGGAAAACCTGCTGCTTTTTTCTCACCTTAAGATTTGAGTATTTATGTTCCTTTTTAATAGGATAATTTAATACTTGATGGGGCCTGTAACCTCACCTCTGTCTTTATAACCTACCTAGTACTCTGATTGCCTTAGACTTGCATCCTTCTTTTGCTCCATCTAGGGTAATGGTTATGAAAGTGTAGTTCCTAGACCCGTAGCATAAGCATCACCTGGGAACTTGTCAGAAATATAGATTCTCAGTTCACCTCAAGCCCAGCAATCTGCATATTAGCTAAGAAGTTCTTCAGGTGACTCATAATAAGCTGCTAAAGTTTGAGAACACCTGCTTCAGGAAAAGGAACATTCTTGTCCCTGCATCTCAGTGTCAGGATGCTCTCAGACTTCCCGACAATAATCAGCCTGACTGCCTGGATGTTTGCATATTTGCCAATGTTAAGTCTTTGTGGCTACACAAAGCAGCCTGTTAGCACACCTGCACAGTCTCTTACTGCCCTTCTGATGCTGCCTGTTCTCTTTGACCAACATCTGTCATCATAGCCCGTGTTGCTTCTAATCACTGTAACCTGTCTGGCTGTGTGTTATCTCAGTAGCTGCAACAGTGTGGATTTAATATCTCTATCACCTGCCCCTAGTGAACTTCATTTGCCCAAAATTCTAGCCCCTTTGGATCTTATAAGACTTCTAAGTTCACCTTACCATTCCCAGTTGTTACAAAAGGTTTGACATAAAGGGTGGGGGAAAAACCCTTAATTTCTAATTAAACTCAAAGGTACAAATGACAGACTAAAACACACAATTGCTTAGGTTATTTAGAATTCATGAAAAGGAGAAAGGGTGGCAAGAGACTTTTTACTATATATTTAGTCTTTGATTTTTGAATAAGATAAATGTGATACCTTCTCAAAAATAATTATTTTTTATTTCTTTTGAAAAATGCATAGTAAAAAAGAATGGTCAGGGAAAACCTCCCAGAAGAAATGAGTGTGAGCTTCATCTAGAATAGTGCAAGGGGCACTGATTAATGATGAAGAGTTGGGAGCACATTCCAGATGAGAAAGGGCAAATGCAGACAACTGCAGAGTTAAGAGGCGGGACTGACTGGTATCTTTTTAACAAAACATGCTGGTTTTGACAACTCGTTTAGGTCATGAAATCTCACTTAAAGACGGTGATGAGAAAACAGATGAAGAAGGGGAGGGGCCATATTCAGATGACGAGATGTTAACACACAAGGGGCTTCGAAGATCGCAAAGCATGAAATCTGTGAAAACCGTGAAAGTCCGCAAAGAGGTTAGTCAATTATAGAGTTGTTTTCCTAATGATTAACATTGAAGGATTTCCCTGATGCATTGTCATTCAGGATATTAATGATCACAAATGAAGGCTTGGAAAGGTAGAGCCGCAGTATATTTTTTTATATTTATATAATCCTTTATTCAGATATATTAGGATTAGATATATTAGATAGTTTAGGATTTCTGGAAATTTAGAAATTCCTAGTCTTCTGCTATATGAAGAAAGTGGCATTTTTGCATAGCAAATGATATGGTTGTCATAAATACCCAGTACTGGCCCTACGCATAAACAAAGAAGGCAACTAACAAAATGAACTACATAGTTCTGCTCTGAACCAACACTACATGAGGATTAAATCGTAAAAGTTTATAATTATATATTGTCTTTGTGCCCAGAAACAGTAGAGGATTGCAGGGATTGGCCGCAGGTTACTATAAGCAATGTACCAAGCAAAACATAAATAACAGCAGTGCTTTTGTTACTGGTGATAATAATCTGCAGCATATATCCAGCATTGAACCAACTACATTTTTTAGAATATAAATTGTTGTCTTTTGTATACACACTTATAGGATAATTGATTTTTTATATCAGAAAAGTTAAAAAATTATTACTGTGATTATGAGCTATTAAATCTTACATAATTTCAAAAAGAAATCATCTAATTTGTAATAATAACACATTTCTCTCTTCAGGTGCGGTATGGGTCACTAAAATATAAAGTGAAGAAGAGACCACAGGTGTATTTTTAGTCACGTGCACTTCAAGTACCCCAAGACAAATTAAGCTAATGCATCAACTTTTTTTTCTAACATATTTAGGATTTACATATTAAAATAATTCTTTAAGTTGTGGCGGTGATAGGGTTCACTTTAATCAATTTAAATACTTTTATTTCTTTAACAATTACTTTCAAATCTTGACTCCTCAAGGTAGTTATGCTATATATATAAGAGGAAACACAAACCCACAGTATACTTGAAGAGTCATTTTATGGTTCAAGCTACATCAGCCTTTGTGGTCTGGTATTGTTTACCTCCATTTATGTGATAGCTGTCACATGAGGACAGTAATTAAATAGGCCTCTAATCCAGCAGTGGTAGCACGAGGGCATAATGTGAGATAGTCTGTTTTATATACTCTTGACATTTTTACTTTTTTAACACTTTAGAGTTTTTCCACCACCAACTGAAAGTTTTCAAAACAAATATTTGAAAACCAGGTATCCACATAGCACTTTTATTCCTGACTAGTCTTGCACACTTGAAATTTGTTTACTTATTTTATGACTGTACATTTTAAGTTTTACTGACATTATCTTTATTATTTGTCATATTCTGACATGTCAGATTTATGCCTTGAATGATGTCATCTCTTTCCTTGTGGGTTTCATTTGTTAAATTTGCTTAGTTTTGATAGTATAAAAATATAGCTAATTGTTCAGTTCTAGCTATTTTTAATTATCTTCTTTACAGATAAGAAATTATTTTAATCATTAACTAGTTTTCTTTATTTAGCTGTACATTGTAGTTGAACTCAGCATGTTTTTTATTAACACTGGTTATATTCTCAAATGTTAAAAGTGGTACTTTTATGAAATAGAATCAGAGAACAGTATGGCACTTAGGTTTCTTCTAATTAATGAAAATATCTAATAGTCACTCCATTAGCAAGCTTGGCACTTATATGTGCTTCTGATTAATAAATCTGACATTAAGTAGAATCACTTGAATAGCTTCTTTTCTGGCTGAAATAATTTCCTGAAGATAGTTGCCAATGCAAAATACAGATGTTAATCTCATGTATTAGAAGCTATTAGAATAGATATTACGAAAATTAATTTTTTTAAATCCAAGCTATTTTTGAGTTACTGGGCTGTGATGCATTTTTAGGTTGCATTGATAGTTATGCATTATGAACTCTGAGTCAGTATATTTCTGGTGATGGTTTTAGTGATCAGTAATGAACAATTATACTTGGTCAGGTGATTTTCTTGACGATTCTACTTGTTTGTCCAAAATAAAAAAACCAAGAGAGAGATTTGTAAGATCTTGAACTATTCTACCTTTTAAGAAATGAAGCCAGCTGACAGTGTACATTCAGGACCTCCTCAGAGTGTTAGCAGAGAACAGAATGTTAACTCAGGAGTACCTTAGTGTAATTCAGTACTTCTCTTGATACAAGTCTTAAAATATTTTCTAGATTATCTCACATTCTTGATATAGAACACCAAATAAAAATTCATTCAGCTTCTTTTCTCCCAAAATTTATTTCTATGAGTATTTTCATCTATTTTACCCTTTCTAATTTTTAGCCTCTTAGTTTCTGGAAAGATTGTTTAATTTGTGTTGAAAATTTCTGTGAATTCCGATGATAAACTCTTAAAAGAGAGTTTTGTTTTTATTACATAGTCCTAGACTTATCAGTATAAAAGCTACACATTGCTTTCTTTCCTGCGCAAAGGTAATGTCATCTCAGATGACCTGACAAGATCATGTAAGTGACGTTATATCTAAAACATTACCTATGGGGGCTGATTTGCACCATTTTATCATTTCCAAGCCTAATTTTATTGTTATACCTATTTTTTAATCATAGTAAAGTCATACTTTTCTAAATTGGAGGAATTATGTATTCCTCTACACTTCTAGAATCAAAACATTTACTCAAAGGCACCACCAGTTTCAAAGAGGTAATTACACAAGTCCTTCTGTTTAATTGTATCTCTTCACACTTATGATGCTTCCTCTGGTTACATCCTTATATACAGTGATGTCATTTTGCTGTTCCATCATTTCCTTTCTCTCCTTTTCTTACATTTCTTAAATTTTGCTTCTTTTCTCTTACGCTCTTTCCTTTGAACTTTGTATAAATGCTTATACATTTTCGTTTCTTTTAAGGCAGAGCAGGTCACTTTGTTCTCTGCTTTTAAGTCTTCTGCTTTTAGAAGAGGAAAATTTATCGCTAAACCATAGTGCCTTGCTTTACCACCACCACCACTTGGTGAATGGGCATCAGATGCTGCACAAGCCTATTTAGGGCCCTATTTTGGTAGCTGTTAAAGTTTATCCAGAAATTGTAGCCATTTCATTATACATGCGTTCAACTTGTTCATTAATATTAACTATTTCCAGAGTTTGTTTAGAAGTAAGAATTGATCTATTCTTTAGTGTACATATTTTTTCTGGTATAAAAAATGAGCCAGAAATAAGGCTAATTGCTAAGTAATTAATTATATAAACCCACCTAGGTCCTGCATAAGATTTCCTCCGCAGACATCACTGTGGATTTGACTAGAAATGATACTGCCAGCATTACTAATTATGAATACTTGACTACACAGATTGATGGAACAAAATTGTTAAAGTGTTTTCAGGGAACTTAATCCGTATGTCTCCACCAAAGATTTCTACAGTGTTATGAAGTATGTAAATATTCCAAATTTCTGTAAGACATTGGTTAGACAAATATATTTCCTTCCTTTTTTTTTTGGAATAACAGTTTATGCTTCTGGAATGCTTGAACTTTTGTATTGTTAATAATGCAATACTATCTTATCTTTAATATCAATAATTTGTATGTTTAATTGTAATGGACTAAAGTTTTATTTTGACTTATTAGGAAAATTAAGGAGTTAATATGTGTTGAAATGCAACTTCCTTTTATTCTCGTTTGTGGGCTGATTGCCTTGCAAGGCTAGTAGGTAAATTTTGAGAAGATCATTGTTAGTGTGGTATGCAGTGTATATTTCTTAATAAACATCATTTAAAGAGTAAAGTTTTCTGAAAGGAAAATACAGCTTTTTTCTCTAAATGTTTTTAAGATATAATCTTCTAAGGTATCCTACAGTTTAATGTGTAGTCTTTAAGCATTGACCATGAATTAACATTTTTTTCATACAGAACCTTTTAAATCTATGTACTTTAATAGATGAGAGATAGCAGTTTTGCAAACTCTTTGTAAAGCTTATTTTTAGATATAATATAGGGGTAATTTTACAAATGTGTTTTTTGAAAACTTTAATATAAAATAAACTCGTTTTATTAGTGACAACTTGGTTTCTATTTTTGTTTTTCTTGTGTCAGAGTACATGTGTTGGATTACATTAATTGGTCATTATTTAAAGTATGTTTTGATTAAATAATTAAGTAATGGAATGCTTATCCATAGTAGTAAAAGAAACACTAAATAGTTAAATTTGGATGTTGGAAAGGAAAGATAGAAAAAAACAATCAGTAGAGAAGCCCTAGCCATCAATTGTATTGGTTAGATGTCTCACACATGAAATATAACACAAAATTTAATTTTATACATCTTGGGAATGCTCTGGGGCTCCATCTGTTGTAAAGTCATGTGTCTGTTTGCCTCACATTTAAGCTTTAGAGAGAAATCCTGTGTTTTAAAAAGTTTCTTTGTGTTACTTCATTATGATATATAATGTATGATCAAGTATTTCCTAATGGGGTTATATATTGACCCGTCCCGCAGGTCAAGCAACGAAGACTCTAGAGGGGGAGTGAGGATGAGGAGGGACAAGAGACACGAGAAATGGAGACAAGACAGGAGTCTGATCAAGTCTCGTTTATTCAGGGGGAGTTCACATAATATATAGGGGAAAAACAGGTGAAACAGTTAATGAGTATCCCACCTGAAGCAAATTCCAGTAAATACCTCAGGTGGAACAAATGATAAGCAAAGAATGGAGTAAACAATTATCTAGAAGAATGCAGACACCGTATGCAGAGAGACCCCGCATGCAGAGAGACCCCGCCCTGGGGCCGGAGACAGCAGAGCAGACTTTAACAAGATGGATGCCATCCATGCAAATGGTCTCCCACAATATATTAATTTTTATTAGAAGGTATATTCTTGTGATGATCCAAAGAAGTTGGAAATGTAAATAAAAATTCTAAAGAACACATGGACATATGGAACTGCAGCATTTTTCCCCCCAATGTTTTATTCTCCCTTTAAGTGGTTCACTGTTCTTGAGAAAGAGGTTCATGGACCAAAAATCATGTCAGAGACTGATTCATTGTTCCCTGAAAAATATTCTGCCCTTTTACCTACCTATCAATATTCTAGCCTTGAAACACTCTCCTTATGGTCTGGTTCTGGTAATGTTTTTTAAATTGCTTTTTGTAAGATAATGCTTTGAATTGAAATTTTAAAGCACAAGATTGATTGATAACTGTCTACAAGTGTAGGACACTAAAAGACTGATCAAAAAAAGCAGGAAAATCACCATGTTTACCCTTCACTTGCCTGGCAATTCCAGATTAAGGGCAAGAAAAAGAAGAAAGAAAAAGGCAAGTATGATATTTTGCCATATGTGCAAATCAAATTAGCATCATTTTTTTTCACTCAGAAATACTCCCTGTGTACAGCAGCACTGTATGTTTCTGCACAGTGCCTATATCCAAGTAGGATAGCATAACAATTTAAGGAAAATCATTCTTGCTTTAATAAAAACAAATTTACTGTTACCAAATGTTTGGGTTATATTAGTATTATTGATGCCGGGGTTTCTTCTTGGTTATTAAACAATTTATTTGGTATCTCAGAGCAGGTTTTTTTTTTTCCTTTTAATCGTTGGATTGCTTCTTTCTCTTAACTTTTACATCCAATACAATACAATAGTAAGTCCTTTTGGCTCTCTCCAAAATATATTCTGAATTTGACCATTACATTCACCTCTCCTCCAACTTCCCTAGTTTACGCCATCATAATCTTCCATCGGGAATACTCAGGGCATTGCTTTTTTTTTTTTTAAGATTTTTTTTGAGAGAGAGGGATCCTCCTGCACCCACAACCTGGGTATGTGCCCTGACCCGAAATCCAACTAGCA